TTTGTAATGAAAAAAATAGCAACTTCAAGACTTGATCTTCATCATCAACATAGGCGAAGACATTACAACAATATAATTTCCCGAAAGATGTAATGTAATGTATGTTAAGAGTATCCAATATAGATGCTTTCTTCTGAATTTCTACGGTTTATGAAGTATCTAATGTTGACACAAGTGTAGTGAAAACACTCTTAATATATATATCACACTCGTGATATATTTTTAATTCCGAATTAAATAGATTGAAACAAAAGTAACACTAAGAGCTTGTACTAACTTTTTACCAGACTTCGTGAATAGGCTATTACTCAACTGTTTCGATGTTTTGTACAGTACAGGTATTAAATATTATAATAAAATATATTTTACACGATTTGCAGTTACGATTATTTTAAAGCTACTAGAACTTTTTAACGGCTAATCTTTGTCAATGAATTGGTAAACACGAAGAATTTAAAATATTATGAACAGAAATTGAAGAATATACACTTTTTCAGATCCAAAATGTTACAGTAGAAGATCGGATGATGATTGAATTTCACTCTGATTCTATCTTGAAACCATATAAACATGCATATTATATTCAAATACATTAGGCTAAATTACTCCCAAACTGTAAACTTAATTTGAACTTTATTTCTCTTTAAGCTGCTGGCTTGTGGCACCAATGTAAAGTCCGAAATAATATAATGTTTTTCTTCAAAGGTGCTAAAATATAGTAATGCACCAGATTCTTCAATTTTAGCCCCAGAGCTGTAACAGTGATGCGAATTTCTAAGTCTGTTATTCGTCAAACTTAGGGCTATGACAAAAGGTTTAAGTTTTAACTTTTTACTGATGTGTTTCAGACTTCTGATCGACCTTAGAGTTATGACAGTAACGTAAATATATAGATCTTTAGTGGTCTACCCTCTTAACTAAAATTCTCGTACTGTGTATAACTATTTTCTCTTAACTAAAATTCTCGTACTGTTTATAACTACTTTTTTATAACTAACATTCTCATACTGTGTGTAACTATTTCCACTTAACTAACATTCTCGCACTGTGTAACTATTTCCTCTTAACTAACATTCTCGCACTGTGTAACTATTTCCTCTTAACTAACATTCTCGCACTGTGTAACTATTTCCTCTTAACTAACATTCTCGTACTGTGTGTAACAACTTTTTTATAACTAGCATCCTCATACTGTGTGTAACTATTTCCTCTTAACTAACATTCTCGCACTGTGTAACTATTTCTTCTTAACTAACATTCTCGTACTGTGTGTAACAACTTTTTATAACTAATATTATCATACTGTGTGTAACTAATTCCTCTTAACTAACATTCTCATACTGTGTATAAGCTGACAACTTTTGTTATGTGGCTCTTTTAAATTTTTTCCCCGGTAAGTCAGTGGTAATTTTCTAGGCTTACGACACAAAATTCCGGGGTTAGATTCCGTCAGATGAACAGAGTGCAGATCGCCCATCGTGTAGTTTTTGCACCAACAAAACAATAACACCATATCTTCTAAATCTAAGACTTTTTTTTAATATGTATTATCTGCTATTATGCACTGAATATGTTTTAAGTTACAATATCACCATTAATTCCACGATATTCTTAATTAGATTTATTTTAGGGACAAATTTCAAATGGATCCAATTTTGTAAGAATCACCAATTACAACTCGCACCTTTATTTTTCTTTATGGTTAAATAGTATTGCACTGAGAATGTTTGATAAAAAAAGTACCGTATAAATTATTCAAAAGGAATCTAGAAATATTAAGAGATAAACTACTTATATTTCACTCAAACAACTCGTAGGCTATGACGTAAACGGAGAAAAAATACAGAGAGATTTGATACATTTATTTAAAAAAAAGAATAATACCAATAAAAGTAATTTCCAACAGGCGCAGGTCACTTCTAGGATGCTTTTGTTGTTGTTGTCGGATTAGCTATGTTTCGGGGAATTTGTGCTAAAAGTAATGATTCGCAGCAAGGACAAGTAAAAGGATTTTGGTTTGATCTCTCTACCTTTCCTACTTAAGAGTCTGATTTCACAAAACCGTCTCATCTTTCCTATCAAGAACTGTATACCAACATTCTTTTTTTCTTCTCCTGCTACTTAGACATCGTACAGGTGCACTGGCACGGTTGCGAGATAAGTCATTACATTACTTTACTTAGTATGTAACCAGCTAGTGTGCACTAGAGACTAACACAAAATAATGTCGAGTGAGGATGATAAAAGAATATTTGTTAGTATTAACTAACTTTTATTTGCTCAGTACTCAAGAACTTTTGCACGACTTAGTGGTCTTTTGCTCATTTGATACAAACTTTTGTATATGGGGTGTTTTGCAAGTTTACAACAATTGCTTTGTTTAAGATTATTTAAATTTGCTAACAAACAAAACTTAATGCAACAATTAAAAAGCACCGTGTTTTTCGACCAACTAATCCTACTGTAATCAAATAAAGTAGATGTATGAAACAATATAGTATTTGTTGTTTGTTCTTGCGGGCTATTTGCGCTAGTAGTGTAGGACTAGAGGGAAGGCAGC